TGATGGTGGAAGAAAGCCTGAAGGGAACAGGTTGACGGCGTTGATCAGCACCGCAAAGAGGTATAACCACGCCTCGCCGGACATTTTGACGGTTGGTCGTTCTGTCGAACAGAGAAGTCGTTGGTGTTGGTGGTATGTGTCAAGGGGGAACCAAGGTCACGACTCGAGCACCGTCGAGATCGGTGGCGGTTGGGGGAGGGGAGCTGCTGGTCGCTGCTGTGTGCAGGCAGAGCTCGAGGGTCGGGAGAGGGAAGAGGTCCGAGGATGATACTTCTCGAGACGAGTCTGGTTCTGCGACGGGTCCTGTTTGCCTGGAAGAGCCAAGTGAACAGGTTGCGGGATCGCGAAGTCGAATGTGGTTTTGGTGGTGGGAAAATTGAGAGGTGGGCAGTGGAAATCGGGGAAACTGGGGCGAGACGGCTGATGATGAAAGATGAAAGACCTGGACCCGGAGGCGGCTCGATGGCCTTGCCTGGTCCCTCCCCCCCGGGCGCACGCTGGTGTGATGGGCGCTGCTGGGTGCTGGGTCTTGGAGCTGGCTGGCGTGTGGAGTGGCCCTGGCCAGTCGCCGGTGGTCGGTGGCCGGTTCGGTGGACACCGAATTTTAATCGCGCGGCGGCCAACCCAGCCCATCAGCAACTGTTCGCTTGCGGAGGCGCGCTACAACCACTGTTTTCGGGGACTGCTTGGGGCGCTCTGGCCACCCGGGACTCCCCTGTACCGTGCGTCCGCCAGGGAGCCCGCTCGGTTGGCGCAGGGTGTGCTGGTCCCCTGCGGGTGGGTGGTTGGGCGAGCAGGGCAGGAGGGGCAATACTGGAGCACCACAAGGTACTACAAGAGGGCTAGAGGGGCAAGAGGGGATTCATCATCACGCAGGTGGCTGGGTGATCCCCCCCCCCAGCCTGGTTGACAGCTCAGTCGTCACGTCACCGAGGCCAGATAAGAGGCACATGGCCACATGCTCACGTCGGCATCGGCGTCTGCCTGGTGCCTGACCATATGGCAGCCAAGGGCAAAGATCGGAACAAAACTCTTCTCCCACCTGCTGCCGCGCAGCTCGCTGTCTATGCTCCCTAAACGCCCTCATCCACCGAATATGCTCGCCCACCGGGATCGAATCACTATGCGCTTCCATTTGCCGCGACTTCGGGCATCGGGATGGGTCCACCGGGCGAGTCCGCGGTTCTGGCTGTCAGGACCTCGACTCCGTCTTCTGTCACGAGCAGGGTGTGTTCTGTTCCGACGTGTCAGCACCACTGTGTAATGTCCATTCTGACCATGATGTGACTTACCAAATTGCGCCGTCCTCTTACCGTCAATCGTCGTGCTCGTCCAGTTGTCAGGCCAGGTGACATCGCGGTACTTGCCAAGCGCAATCATGGGCTCAATCGTAAACGTCATGCCGGGCTTGCACTCGCCCACTGCCTTGTTCTTGGCGTAGTGAGGCACGTTGGGCGGGCCGTGGAAGAGCTTGTTGATGCCGTGACCACAGTACGTGCGGATGACGCTGCAGTTCTTCGCCTTGGCGTGCTTCTCGATGATGTTGCCAAACTCGCGGATCAGGGTGCCTGGCTTGACGGCGGCGATGGAAAGGTCGAGACACTCGCGCGCCGTCTCGACAACCCTGACCGCATCCGGGTCCGCCTTGGCCCTGTCGCCGACGTAGTACGTCTCGTTCAGATCGCCATGATAGCCGCCGTGGAAGAGTGACACGTCAATGTTGAGGATATCGCCGTCCATCAGAAGGCGCTGGTCGGGAATGCCGTGGCAGATGACCTCGTTGGGCGACGTGCAGACGGACTTGGGGAAGTGGTTGTAGTTGAGCGGCGAGGGGTAGGCCTGGCGAGGGAGGGTCAGCAACTCTTTCCGTTTGTTATCGTCCGATCCTTATACTCACGTCTCTTTCAATGCACGCCTTGTGGACAACCTCGTCGATGTAGTCGGTTGTCACGCCAGGCTTGATCGCGGCAGCCGCAATATCGAGGACCTCGCGCGACAACCGGCACACCTTGCGCATGGCGGCAATGCCCTTGGCATCGAGAATCTCCGCCTTGTTCCTGTTGATGATGGACCTGCTGTACTTGGGAATGCCATCCTCAGACCAGTCGGGGTGCGGGATGTGCTTCGGGACGGTGCGCTTTGCGGAGAGGGGGTAGACGGGGCGCAGGGAGCCGGTGTAAGGGTAGGTCGGGAAGGGGTTGAAGTAACCGGTCTCTGGGTCAGGTTTAGAGACTACGCTCGGCGGGAGGATGTGGTGGAGTATACTTGTCTGCGACTTGTGCATGCTCTTGTGGGTTCCCTTGGAGAATGTTAGTAGTGTGTTGGATGATCAGCACAGGCGGCGACCGCGAGCTCACCCAGTTCTTCTTGAAGCAGTCCTGCGAGCAGAAGAAGCTGTCCTTGATGCCTACCTTCAGGCACGTTGGGCATTGCAAGGAGCCAGCATCATTCGAGCAGTCCTCACCCATGCACTTGCGCTTCGCGGGGGGTTCTTCAGCCATGGTGGCGGGACGATTTTGTTGCGAGTGGCGGGGTGAAGACGGCAACTCTCGAGAGGCGTTGGGGCAGTTGGCAGGTGGAGGAAGTAGGAGAATAAGGCAAATCACTTGACGAACCGTCAGAAAGACGGTAGGAAAAAAAAATACTCTGCGATTTCCAGGACGGCGGGGAAAGAATTCGCGACAGTCGCAGGTGGCAGGATTTCGCGGTTCGACTCTGAATGCCGTTTCCAAAAAGTCGTCGCTGGTGCTGTTAGTGTGATAGGTGATAGGCACAGCCAGCACCCCACCCCTCGGCAGGCTGTCGCGAGCTTTAGTCATCAGAACCGCAAGTCGCCGGCCGGATGGCCTCAGCGACCCAGGTTTGCCAGGGAGTACCTCCCTAGGCCTAGGGAGTGTCTCCTCGGGAGCGAGCGCCTGCTGGTGGGAAGAGCTCCCGGCAAATGGGAACCGTCTTATCTAAGCGTCGTGATTAACCGGCAACGGCGGTATCGCTCGAAAGCCCGTCCCAGCACAGTCTAGGTCGTTACCCAAACATCCGACTCTGCGAGTGAATCATGCATTTCTCTCTCATCGACAACTCCTTTTTGTCGCCGTCACTCGCTCGCTGACCTGTTGTCAACTGTTGTCAGCATGGTCCTGAAGCAGAAGTTTGTCGTCGTCGGCGCCGGCCCTGTTGGCTCTCTGGCAGCGCTCTACGCGGCTAAGAGAGGCCATGATGTAGAGATTTATGAACTGAGGCCCGGTAAGTCCCATTGGCTCTAGAGTTGTCATGGCTGAGTATGCGTTTTTGTCGCGTGACGGAGCCGTCATCGTCACAATTCCCGCAAAAATTGTCTGCCTGTCTTCTCGAGTGCTTGGTACCGTCGATAGTGATCGGCGCGTTTCGAATCACCTTGCAGAATTTCAATTGCTTTTCATTCTGTCCTGCCACATTGCATCCTAGTCCCTTTGAGTTGAAGGGTCTTTCGTTCCCTACGAAGTCAAGATGGCTGCCGGAGCTGCTCTTTGACTTGATCGCACAACTGACAAAGATCCTTAGATTTGCGAGACCCTACAACGACACTGCTCAACTTCACTCGCTCCATCAATCTTGCTCTGTCAGAGCGTGGCATCAATGCTATGCCGCCACGCTGGCCAGCCGAGGTTGCTTGAGCACGTGTTTGGTGCAACCATTCCCATGCGCGGCCCGTATGATCCACGGCCGTGGTTCCAATGGTGACCTTTACGAAGCTGCACAGGATTATGATATTCATGGACGTGTACGTTCTTGACGTGGAGAATGCCGTAGACTCAGCCAAACTGACCCAAAACAGACGATTTTCGCTGTCGACCGAGCTGGCCTCAATAAGCGGCTCCTCGACATTCTTGAAGACATGCCCAATGTCAAGTTCTTTTTCAGCCACAAACTCACAGGTGCCGATTTCAAGAAGCGCAAGGCATGGTTCGAGGTCATGACGTCCGAGTCGGCCACCGGCAGGGCGAGGGAGATTGAAATCGACTTTGATCTCATGATTGGCGCTGACGGCGCCCACTCAGCCGTCCGGTACCACATGATGAAGTTTGCGCAGCTGAACTATCGACAAGACTACATCGGCACGCTGTGGTGTGAATTCCACATCAAGCCTGTCAAGGTCCGCTCGGATGAGAACCCGAATGCCGTCTTTAGGATATCGCCAAACCATCTCCACATCTGGCCCGGCAAGGACTTCATGTTCATCGCCATTCCCAGCGATGTGCGTCAAATTCCCAGATTCAACTTGGAGCTCTCGGGCTAACATGCTACAGGACGGATCCTTCACTTGCACGCTCTTCCTGCCCAGCGCGCAAACGTTGGCCCTCGAGAAGAACCCCGCCAGCATCCCTGAGTTCTTCGACAAGCACTTTCCCGGCGTCACGGAGCTCATCCCTGGCAGAGAGCTCATCGAGTCCTTCGAGAGGAATCCTCACCTGGCCCCTTCATCAGCGTCAAATGCAGCCGTACACTACAAGTCCTCGCCGTGATTGTTCGGCGACGCCGCGCATGCCATGGTCCCTTCTACGGCAAGGCATGAATGCCGGCCTCGAGGACGTCCGCGTCCTCTTCTCCATTCTCGATAAGCACGCCGAAGCCGAGTCAAACAGCCCCTCGACGATGACGACGACGACGACGCCGCCAGCGCCTCCGCCGCCGCCGCCGACTACGGTCGCGAGGTGGCCCTCGCCGAGTACACGACGAACCGCGTGCCCGACGCGCACGGCGCACGCCCATCAACGACCTGGCACTGCAAAACTACGTCGAGATGCGCGCATCGGTGCTCTCGCCCAAGTACCGCCTGCGCAAGTGGCTCGAGGAGATGATGTCTGTCTACCTGCCGGGCCTCGGCTGGCAGACGAAGTACTCGCGCGTCAGTTTCGAGAACCAGCGCTACTCCGAGGTCGTGGCACAGAGCGAGCACCAGGGCGAGGTCCTCGTATCCGTCTTTGAGGCGCTCGTCTGCAGCCCGTTCATCGTCGGCGCCGTTTGGCTGTGGTGGAAGCAGCCCAAGTGGATCGCGAGGACGTATCAGACGTGGACCGAGAAGGCCATCATGGCTGCTTTCGAGCGTCTTTGACGTGGTTTGGTGTTTTGCGTAGTGTACCGTTTTAAACCTCAAGATACCTCGTGTGTTTGTGTTGTTTTGATCGTTTTGAAATGCCTCTCCACATTTCATAACCATTTTTTGCCATTGCTGTGGAAGTGATTGCTCTGATTCAGTGGTCTGGAGATGTTGGCAAAGGAGAAGTCACCTGGCGTCTATCTGTCTTGAGAACTTACGCAGGAAGAGGACGTGCTTCCCAGCGCAAGGATGCCAATAGCTCGAGAGCACCAGGCGTACCCTTCCATGCTCGGAGTGAATGACTTCTCGCAGCGTGCGCCTCTTCCCTGGAACCTTCTACATACGATGCGGTTGCTGTGCCAAGGTCAGTATCAGGCTGTGCCATCGCATCCAGCAGGTATTTATTGGCCCGGTGCATGGCGGTCACCACCTCGCGGACCTGTCTCGCGAGCTCGTCAACAACGGGCTTCGGGTCCTCGGCCAGAATCAGCAGAGAGTCAGAATGGCGAGTGATGGCGCTGCTGTGATGTGCCGCTTCAAGGAGAGCGATCTTCTCCTGGACTGTGCAACCTGCTGCGCCGGCGACAGCCTTTTCTGCGCTCTGCAGTGCAAAGAGGAGGCGAATCTTGATCAGGGCCAACGAGTGAAGCTCGAACGTTCCGGCCGCCTTCCGGCGCACAAAGAGGTCGACGGGCTCGAGGGCATTGGCATTCTCGAGGTCGAGAAACGGAGAGTCGGGCATGTCTTTGAGATGGCTCTCGTCGTCGGCGTGGGCGACCCACCACTTGACAAAGTCATACGCCTCCTGCTCTCTGCCGAGGTGCACCATGACGGAGGGCAGCTGGTGGCGCAGGCCGAGTTCATCGCTGCGGTTGAGACGCAGCATGTCCAGGCCGTGGTCGAGCGCCTCCTCGAGACTGGGCACGGTGTCCAGGTGGATGAGGGTCTGCGTCAGCGCGTAGCGAGCCCGCATATAGGGCCGCGTCTCTGGAATGGCGTAGAAGTGGCCGACGGAGGTCTCGAAGACGTTGGGCGGCGTGAAAGGGTCGGGCTCGGCATTGCGAAGGTCAGCTTCGGCGTCTTCGTACGCCTTGCGACGGGCCCCGACGAGCTTGCAGGTCTTCTTGTGCGAGGACCACTGTGACGTCTGGCAAGGCTTGCTGCAGTAAAGGACGCCTGTACAGCCGGCACATCGTTGGAGGCTGTCGCTGGCAGTGCCACATGCCTGGCAACGAGGAAGCGGACGAGGTGCTCCGGAAGTGTATTCGAAGGGGCTGCCTTGTCGAATGGCAGCGTCTGAAAACTGCATGATATCGAGATTGTCGTGGGGGAGACTGTCCAACGGCTAATGACCATGGAGACATTTCTTTCGTCGATCGCGGTTCCAACGCATCAGACGCGTCGTCTCCACGGTAGACGCTAAAAAGGAGGGGGTTCTGAGAGGGGCTCTCGGCCCCCCCCCACGCAGACCCAGTGGCACCTTGATTTTAGGGGTCTTTCGAGACGCCACAGCCCTCTGATTAGAGCTCGCTTCAGAGGCCCAAGCTGTCAGTGCTATAAATCCCCGCGGCTGGGTACGTAGCAAGGCGCCGCCTACCAAGTCATCTCTGGACAAGACAGACAGGTCACACCCAGGTGATCTCCGTGTAGTAGCTGCAGCTGGGGCGAGAGAGCATGAAACTGTTGAAGAAGCTAGCATCAGACGCCGCAATAAATCACGCTTTCCCATGCCACCGTGAACCTTCTTTCCACCAATGCGGCACGTCAGGACCTCAGTGTCCGGCTCAAGCCGAGAGAATGACACTCTCCAGTGGAGCGTTGGTGACACTCTCCAGTGGAGCTTCGGTTGAAATGGTAGAAATGGTGGGTGGTGATGGTGGTGACGCCCCCCTGCCCCAGGTCATCGATCCTTGTGCCATTGGCCAATGGCACCACAAAGGCCACCACCCCAAAGCACCGGGCATCTCCAAGCTTCTCTCAAGGAAGCACCTCTTCCCCTCCAAACACCCCACGTCAACCGCCTCCGTCTCGACCACCACCACCACCAACCAGAGCCCAGACAACGACGAGCGATAAGACGCACTGGCGTCTCCTCTCAACCATCCGTTTGGTCCGTTACGATCCACCGTTGCAGCCCATTAATCACGCATTCCGTCACGATGCTGTGTACCACGAAACAGACTTCCTCCCTCGCCTGAGTCTTCCCCGCTCCCTCCTTGATGCAGCCGAGCGGGGGGGGGGGGGCTCGGGCTCCTACCGGCCATGACCCGGATATAAAAAGGTGGTCATTCTGAGAGAATCTGACGGCCAACCCTCCTCCTTCTCTTTCTAAACCTTCGACATCATCAGATTCCATCTTCTACACCACGGAAGCATCACCAGACCACACACTACTACACACATCGTACGCAGAGCAAGCTCTTCAGCACTGCCCCTTGACCCCCTCCTTCCGGACCTGTACTGATTCTCTCCTTGTCCGCAGTCCACCTTGACGGTACGCCTCTCGCCGAAACCGGCAGAGAGAGCAATGGCCACGCAAGGGTTATCCGTCAGGCGTCGTGGCCTCGTGCCATGACGAACGTTCAAGTTCTTCATTATCATCAGGTACTTTGATATCTGTTGTGAGCAATGAGCCGGTGTTCGGGTTTTGCATCTCTCGGTTGCTCTTCCATCCACCCGCCCCGACATTGACACCCTTCATGTCCATCCCGAGGCGGAGATGGTGGACGACCTTGAGACACAATGCAATCCTGTTCTGAGATTATACGGCCTAACTTGATCTGGATAATACCAGCGAAAGGATCATGCTCTCACAGCCTCCCCTGTGCTCCCCCATCGTGTGAACCTCTAACACGATCTAGTTGATATCTCAAACAACCTACAGCTACAATGGCCCCCTCCGCTACCTCGATCGTTGAGCCCACCGCCCTCCCTCACAAGGGCGGCGTGTCCGTCGGCAACGGCATTACCAAGCCTGCTGTGGCCCCCAAGACCAACAGCAACTGGGATGCCTTTGCCTTCGAGCCGATCCGCGAGTCGCAGGTCGCTCGCACCATGGGTCGCCGCTACTTTGAGGACCTCGACACCTACGCTGAGTCTGATGTCGTTATTGTCGGTGCTGGCAGCTGTGGTCTCTCCGCCGCCTACTCGCTCGCCAAGCAGCGCCCCGATCTGAAGATTGCCATCATCGAGGCTGGCGTCGCTCCTGGCGGCGGTGCTTGGCTCGGCGGTCAGCTCTTCAGCGCCATGGTCATGCGCAAGCCCGCCGACAAGTTCCTCGCCGACCTCGGCGTCCCCTTTGAGGACGAGGGCACCCACGTCGTCGTCAAGCACGCTGCGCTCTTCACCTCGACCCTTCTGTCACGCGTTCTGTCTTTCCCTAATGTGAAGCTGTTCAACGCTACCACCGTTGAGGATCTCATTACTCGCCGTGACGGAGATGCCATTCGTGTCGCTGGCGTCGTCACCAACTGGACCCTCGTCGCCATGCACCACGGCGACCAGAGCTGCATGGACCCCAACACCATCAACGCTCCAGTCATTCTCAGCACCACCGGCCACGACGGCCCCTTTGGTGCCTTCTGCGCTAAGCGCCTTCGTGAGCATGCAGGCCATTGAGAAGCTCGGTGGCATGCGTGGTCTGGACATGAACAGTGCCGAAGATGCCATTGTCAAGGGCACCCGCGAGTCGTTCCCGGCCTGATCATTGGCGGTATGGAACTGAGTGAGGTTGACGGTGCCAACCGCATGGCCCCTACGTTTGGGTGAGTTCATTTTGACACTGGGGTGCGCCATATTCGAGGCTAATCCGGCACAGTGCCATGGTCATGTCTGGTGTCAAGGCTGCCGAAGAGATCATTGCCGTCTACGACATCCGCAAGAAGGAGAATGAGATCTAGGTGCTCTCGCACTTGGTTCGCGTGGTCCGCATTCGCTAGTTGACACAGAACAAGATTGGATTATGTCTGATGGGCTAGCACTCACTCTTTAGCGTAACACGCATAATGCCGAAATGTCACTCTTTAAACATCTAAGCCCAACCCTGGGAATTTGTCGTTTGCGTGTTATCTGGCTAGCTGTGCGAATATTGCATTGGAAACTTCTGTAAATATCGTAACTCCATCAACGGCCCACCTACCAAGGCAACATCTCCTGCAGTCCCTGCTCCGCCAATACCTTGTTGATAGCCGCCTCAGAGTTCTGCCACAGCCCCTGAATCTCCTCATCATTCTCAACAAGTGGATGCAGCTTCGCAACCTTGCCAAGCGGCATAAGATACTGCCCCTTGTACTTTGCCTCCTCCTCTCTCAACTGCGGCGCCGCTGCCGCGAAAATAGTATGCCCAGACCCCTCCTCCAACGACAAGAAGTTGCCGTCCACAAGCGACGCAAGCCACGGCACCATCGACCCAACCGTCTTATCGGTACGCACCTCGCCAGGATGGATCGATGTGCAGAGCACCGGGACCCCTTCCTCGTCGAGCCGACGCTGCAGTGCCCGGATGAAGCCCGTGCCGGCAATCTTGCCGATGGAGTAGAGGATCATGTCGAGGACGAAGACCCTGCTCGTGAACCAGCGCCAGGCCCAGGGGTAGTACGGGGCCGGGTTGGCGAGGACGTCGCGGGACGTGAAGTTGGGCTTGTAGCCCGCGGGTAGGAAGCTGGATGCGGCGCCGGAGGTGAGGCCGACGATGCGGACGTCTGCCCCCGGTAGACGGGCCGTGGCTTTGAGGAGGGGCAGGAGCTGGTTCGTCAAGAGGAAGTGAAATGCGAAACTAGGACAGCAGTGGTTAACTCGATGATGAAGCTGGGGGCTGGCTGTGATGTGCGCGTGTGGGGAGGGGAACACTTCTTACTCGCCGGCAATGTGCGACTCCCATGCGTCCTTCGTACGGCGTGGGTTGCCCGTGGCCGCGGCCATGTGAACTGTTGGGCAACCAGCGTCAGCGCGGTCACCTTGCTACTACTGCCATGGGCCGGGAATGGACTGACTTAAAAAGTCGAGCCTAGACTCGTGCTTCTTGAAGGCGTCTGCGGCGCGGACTGCGGTCGTGACGTCCGCCAAGTCGAGATGGACCTGGTGCAGCTGCGCCGCCTTGATGGCGCCATTCTGCGCC